GGGATAACGTCCGGTCCTGCTGCTTTTCCCCACTTGAGTTTTCGCTATGTTTTCCTACCTCCTGCACGGTGAAAGCCGCTTCGCTGACGGGAAGGGGCGGTTCCAAGGCTTCGTTGTCGACCAAGTTTGCTGGCCGTACTTTCCAGTGGACTTGTTCCAAATAAGTTCCGTGGTATCTATTCGCCCACGGTTTGCAACCAACTGCCCATGTAGATGTTGAAGCCTACCTTGCTTATGTAGCTGTGGTCTGCAGAACCTCCGGTTAACGTCCCAACGCCCAGATGCAATGTTTGAGTCCGGCCACATTGTCTTGTCATGTTTACATGACCGTCGCACCTCTTTGAGCAAACATCGTTATGCTGGACGGTCGTTGCTGGCACGGGCTTCGCTCCTTTGCTGTACCAGGCCAACGTTCGCTGTGATACCCATGGTCGCTTTCCTTCGTCCGGACGGCGAGGTAGAACAGCGGCAGCTACATGTGCTGCGCGTGCGCCCCGCTCCCATACAGCGCCCACGTTCCCGGCAACCGGGTGGCCAGCAATGTCATCCAGGGGCGCTTCTGCATACAGTGGTTGCACAGCTGGGTCTCGTAGCAGATCTCTGTCTCTAGGGGGTTTGTGCGGCAACGGATCGTCATGCTTAGAATGGTGGAAACCCACTGTCAACAAGTAATGGTCCAGAGTTGTTTCGCGATGTGTTCTTAAACCCCGTACTTGACCCAGCGTGGCAGCATCACACATGACGTAATCCAAGATGTTGTACTTGTCCTCTGTAATAATCCCAAATGGTTTGGCACCAGCTTCCATGAAGGTGACTGTGTATTTCAACGGCCATTCAAAATATGTATTCGCCAATTTTACATCGAGGCCGAAACAAGACTCCGTGAGAAGACCCTGGTTGTGAACTCCAACTTGATGGAGAGCCCGCCTGCCCCATGTGAACGGCCCGATTGTCGTCGACAGCCCTGCGTCTGCATGCCCAAGTCGTACATTCACGTCCCCCGTAATAAGATTGCCGGCTGTGGCCGAACATGCCCAGAACTCGGCGTCCAGAGTCCTCCAAAACATACGTCTCTCCGGCAAGGGCTTCAATTTATGGGGCGCGCACGCGCCGAAAATCCCGAATACGCGGTATCCCTATTTGATTCTTAGTTGTATGATTATTGCAGAAATCTGCTTGCAATATCGTTCCTAAGGGGCGCGACTTGGAGATATGATAAAGCCAACTCCAGCCCCCGACATTGCTTTTGTATCGTCTCCCGAAAGAATAATGCGGCACCCACTGTTCTCATCCTCGAAATATTATGTTTTCGTGTTCCGTGATTCCTGCATGCATGAAAAAATGTATGCTGTGTATTTCCATGTGCTCTGCTTGTTTCCCATATCTTCTGATGTGTCAAGCCGCGTACGTTCCAAGTAACGCACCGTAGTCCAGAATGGCCAATGTAAACCCAACGGTCATCAACGATGCTGGAACAAACCCTCCCTCCAAATTCCCTCTTCATAGGCTCATACAAAGATTCATTTCCACTGAAGGAACTGCCTCGTTGGAAGACAACCGCTTGAAGACCCTGGAACATGCCGAAACACTGTTCTCGGGACTCCAACGCCACGGATCAGCCTGCCTGTTGCGACTTGACGATCCTGAATCGTGCCAAAACGCCATTCCTGGGACTTCAACCGCGAATCATCATAACTGGTGCACCCTCAGAATCTTAAGTCCTTCCGGAACACCCATTCTGGCACGTTGACCATAGGAACCAGTCAAACGATTGTTTTTTTGAACAAGGAATGTACGCGGAGCGAGAGCCACATTTTGAAAACCATCCGCCCTCAATCTGTGAAATTGCAATGTTTAAGCTCCAGTGTCATAAAGAGTGAGGAAACCTCAGGCGAGACGCCTCGCCCGCCCATTCGACCGGCCTCGGGGTGCGACAGGGAGAAATTATTTATGAGGAAAAGGAATGGAGGAGGAGAAGGAGGAGGAGGAGGAGGACGACGACAGGGAGGGAGACAGGGAGGGAGGGAGAAAGGGAGGAAAGGAGGAGAAGGAGGGAGGGAGGGAGGGAGGGAAGGAGGGAACGGGGGGAAGGAGGAGGGAAGGAGGGAGGATGCAAGGACCTTGGACGCCCAGTTGAAGCCGAAGCTGGAAGCCCATGGGACAGGATGGGTGGAGCGGCAAGGATACAACGACACCCTTGAAAGCTGGCTACTAATCCTAGTATTGAAGGAATGAAGAACAAGCATAAACATAAACTTGCGACGGTCCGCGCGGACGTTTTGGATTCGCGCTAGAAGCCCCTCCCTGGCGCGCGGAGCACCGCGCCAAGGGCGGCGCCAGAGGCGCGGCCAGAGGGGCTCAGCGCGGATCCTAGAAATCCGCGCGGACCGTCGAAAGGTTATGGACATGCCGCTTTTTGTGTTTTCGGTTGACTGTACGCGCAAGATGATCCTTCGGAGGTCGGAAAGGGGTGTGGCGTAAAAGGGGTATGGTGCCAATCGTGGAAATTGCCATGCTATCTGCGATAAATAACATCGCCAGATTCCTGCTTACATGAAATTAGCACCACACCCCTTTACACCATATTCCTTTCGCACCGCCAAAAGATTGAGAGGTATCCGCCCTGCTGCGGTTTGCCGGGGAGGGGGGCCGCGCCTGTCGCGGCGCCCTGGTAGACCTGGGCGCGGCGCGGACCCCGCTGCGGGCACCCCACCGAGGACACACGTGCGAGCCAAGAGAAAAAATGCACAGCATGCTCCGACCATACGGTGTGTTCTTGCGGCGCCGGGACGCGCGATGGTATTTGACGCCGCGTCGATATTTCAGCCTTGAACCGATTGCGGCTCCGATGGGTCCAATGGCATCGCCGTGTCCCTCGGTGCTTCTGCGTCGCAGAGTTCAACCTTGAAAGCCTTCGCCAGCGTCGCCGGCGCGCCACCGCCGCATGAACCTACGGTACACCACCATGCCAGGCCAGGACGATCCTCAGATGAACAAGACGAGGTTCAAATCCGCCGATCTGGCGTGTGAGCTACAAGGAGCCTCAGCAAGAGCTTAGGCTCTGAGCCTAAGCGAGAACTTCAGCTCTGCTTGGGGGGGGTCGCCGTGAAAGGGATGGAGGGGGGGGGGGGGGGGAGCGCCCCGATCTGGCGTTGTCTTCATATCTTGCGCATCCGGACCCCCCCGGGGAAGGGGGAGGGTGGGGGCGGTCCCCCATCTGGCGTTTTCTTAATGATTTGCGCATCCCCAAGATGAAAACGGGGGGTCCCAGGGACCCCACTCAGATCTAGCCGCTACCGCCCAGGGACCCTCCCCTCGGAGCCCTCCACGGAATCCCCCCGGGACCGCTCCAGGCACCCCCCCAAAGGAGAAGAAAGAGGACCAGAGGAATCGAGGAGGGAGGATGCCACAGAGCCGCGAAGATCACAGAATCCGGAGCCCCCCGGATCGGCGGCACTGGCCGGAGGCCATTACAACATGCTGTTCGGAGGCCAAAGGGGGGGGATTGGAAGAGGGCGGGTGTCGCAGCATGGCCTGAGGCATGTGCGCGGGCGGGGAGGGCGGGGGCCAGGGGACGCAAGGAGGGGGAAGGGTTTGCGTCAAATCTGGTAGATCCGTTCTGTGGCCTTGTGGGCCGGGTTTCCGCGTGGCCCACTGAATCCATACATGTTGACGTATCCCTTCTACGTCCGCCGCTTCCCGCCCGCCTTCTGCCAGTGGACCCGCCGCCGCACCACTTCCGCCGCCCCGGCCTTCCGCCGAAGGCGAGAGCCGCCGAAGGCGAGGACCTTCCTGGGGCGCGCCGTGAAGGTCCCCAGACATGCGGTGCCCTATTGTTTTCGGTACGGGGCCCCCAGCAGTCCCGACCCGTTCACCGGGCCGGGCTCTTCATCCCGAGCCGTAGACGTGCTCACAACCTCCAAGAGGTATTCCGTGAGATGCTCATGGTGCCGTCGCACAGTTCTTGTGCCAAGAAGGTCATCTGAGTTCTCAGTCATGGAGAAGGAAAAGAATCCCGAGCCGTTGTTTGACGGTCCTGGGGCCAAGCGAGGACCCAGTGGGGCCGCAATGGGCCAAAAGCCGCCCGTCGAGATGTTGTTCACGACGCGCGCACGTCTGCATCTGCCCTCTCCTTCTGCGGCAGCTCGTGGGAGCCTCCCACACCATCCTGCTGGCCCTTCCCGACCGACGCTGAGCCGGCGCTGTGTCAGCGATTACCCGACGCGCCTCGACGCCAGAGCACTCTGAAGACGGAGTTACGGAGCACACAAGACTCCCACGATGTTTGGGAGTCCCGGAACGGTGCGGTGACAGACCGTGCGGTGACCTCGAAATCCCCCAAGACCTCACCGCACGGTCCGTCACCGCACGGTCTTGGGACCTCGGAGGCCCCTGTCCCCCGAGACGCCCTCGGAGAACGACCCGAGTCCGAAAACCGTGCGGTGACCCCGAATCCCCACCGACTCACCGCACGGTGTGGTCACCGCACCGTTTAGGGGCCCCCGAGATTTGCTGCCGAGCTCTCCTGCTGGCCCTCCCCAACCGACGCTGAGTCGGCGCTGTGCCATCGATTACCCGACGCGCATCGACGCCAGAGCACTCTGAAGACGGAGCTACGGAGAATACATAGGGGAACAAAAAGTGGCATAAACATAAAAACTCGGCGGTCCGCTCGGATTTCTCGGATCGGCGCTGGACCCCTCTACCTGGCGCGCGGAGCGCGCCAGGGGCGGCGCCGGAGGCGCCGCCGGGGGGCCCCAGCGTCGATCCGAGAGATCCGCGCGGACCTCCGAGTTTTAATGTTTATGTCACTTTTTGTCCCCCTAATCTGGCCATCGCTCGGACGTCCATTCTCTGTGCTTTTTTTGGTTTCGTGCGTGGTGTTTTCGCCAGATGATCAAGGATGCTCCTCGATGGCCCTCGCCAAAGACTCCCACGACCTGCTGCCGGGCTCTCCTGCCCGGCCGGAGGCGAGGGCGCGGCGGGCACCTGGTCCTTCATCAGCTCCTTCTTCTCCTGGCGGGGCGCGGCCCGCGCGGCAGCCGCGGAGGGGGCTGCTCGGGCTCACCGCCGCGGCGGCGGCGCTGCGACGGGGGGCGGCGGCCGTGCGCCCTAGATTTAGGTCGGGCCTGTCCCCCTACCGGGAAATTTTTGAGCGAAAATGAAAAATAGTCAACAAATAAGCCCAAATGGTCAAAAAACACTCAAAAAATAGTCCCCCGACTATTTTTTGACTATGTTTAGACTATTTTCTTGGACGCACAAGGACATACTGGCACGGTGTGCCTCTACAGTCGGGCTGCTGAAAGAAGGAACGCCAAATAAGGAACGAAGCCCCTTCTTGGCCGCTGTACGTAGGCGCCTCCCTGCCGCAGGAGGGCAAGAGGAGCAGCACTGGAGGAACCTCGGGAACATCGAGCCCCTTCCGAACCCAAACTGTTCCTTATTTCAGCGTCTTGACTGTACTGGCACGGTGTTGCGGGACGGGAAAATGATCACAGCCACTGCTTCTTGTTTGCACCGCCTTCCAGCCGACCGAAAAAGAAGCAGTGGTTGTGGTGATTTCCATGGAGCCAAGCTTAGCGAACATGGCCACAACCACTGCTTTGTTTCTGCTGGCTGGAAGACGGCAACAAAAGAAAAGCAGTGGCTGTGGTCGTTTTCACGTCCCGTAGGTGTGCCTCCATTGGAGGCGCACGTCTGGCCCGAACCATGGTGCACACACTCTTGCAGCACACCGCTTCCTGGAGCGCGCGGGGCCAGAGAGAGTGCCCGCCAGGGAGCTCGTGCTGCAAGATTTTGCTCCGAGCGTGCGCGCCGCCCTGGCGTGTGGCCGACGCTCACGTGGGGACCGCTTTCTTCTCATTCGGCGCCTCGACGCTGGGCGGCAGGTCGGAGACTGGAGCACATACGTTACCACTGGCGGGCGGCTTCTCCATCCCAGGACTTTCTTCGAGTGTCGGGGACGACGTCGGGGTGGTGTGGTGTATTCTTGTTTCCCCGCTTTCCTGGGGGAACAGCGAGGAGTGTATACACCAGGATCCCGCATACACCAGGATCCGCTGTCCTGTGCGAGACTCAGTGTGAGGCCAGACAAAGGCGTCGGTGCATAGAGTTCGGTTCCCTAGAAGGGGAGGGGAGGGGAAGCGGTCTGGCTCTGGATCCCTGCTTAGTGCGACTGCTTGCAACAGTGCCTTCTGCGGGGGAGAGACTCCGCCTGCTCCAAGCAGGCGCCATAAACAGCCAAGATCTGCTCATGGGGGGGGGGAGGGGGGGCGAGGGCTCGCGCCGATCGGCAAAACAATGAATCAGAAAACTGAAGGGGCCCTGGGACACACACACACACACACACACACACACACACACACACACATAAATAAACACAAATAACAGGATTCCCCATATTTTCCTATATTTTCTGGGCTCTTGTCTTCCCCCCCACTTCCCATGTTTCCCATCTTTTCTCGGAAATCGACGATTAACTGTGTCTGTGTGTTTTTTCTCCTCCTGAAAAACGACGACCAGTAACCAGTAGAAGTATGTTTGGGTGGCACTGGCTCGAGGGCAGGCATGGCTCGCTTGTCGGGGACGTCAGCTCAGCACCTGGCCGATCCTGGCCAGGCCGACACCGGGCCCGTGACCGCCGTCCACGCTCGGAGAGGCGTGAGGCCAGGGCTCCGGGGACTCGGCTTAGCCCGACGGGGCCGTCACGGCAATGACGAGGCCGGGTCTGAAATTTGACGCGGCCTCCCGCTGCGAGGGCCCCACGGAAACGGGATCGTCAAACTCCAGGGCAGGCCTGTCAAGCATCGTTGGCAAATCCTCCTCCTCCTCCTCCTCCTCCTCCTCCTCCTCCTCCTCCTCCTCCTCCTCCTCCTCCTCCTCCCTCCTCCTCCTCCTCCTCCTCCTCCTCCTCCTCCTCCTCCTCCCTCCTCCTCCTCCTCCTCCTCCTCCTCCTCCTCTCCTCCTCCTCCTCCTCCTCCTCCTCCTCCTCCTCCTCCTCCTCCTCCTCCTCCTCCTCCTCCTCCTCCTCCTCCTCCTCTTATTATTATTATTATGATTATTAGTATTAGTCTTCTTCTTCGTATTATTCCTCTTTTTCTTATTATTAGTAGTATTATTCTTCTTATTCTTATTATTAGTAGTATGTTTATTCGCATGTTCCTTCTTAGTATTATTATTCTTATTAGTCTTAGTATTATTATTATCATTATTAGTATGAGTATTATCATTATTATTACTACTACTCTTCTTCGTCTTCTTCTTGTTATCATTAGTATTATTATTATTAGTATGAGTATTATCATTATTATTTTTATTATTCTTATTATTATTCTTATTATTATTACTAGTATGTTTCTGAATATCATTCTGCTTATTATTATTAGTATTATTATTAGTAATAGTATTATTATTATTCCTCCCACTCCTCCTCCTCCTCCTCCTCCTCCTCCTCCTCCTCCTCCTCCTGCGCCTCCCCGACACGCCTTCCTGGCCACGCGAGGGGGCGGGGGGCGAGCACCGATCCCGGGCGCGGGGTGGGCTCGGCCAGGATCGGCGAGGTGGCCCACTGACGCTCCCACCGGCGGGAGGCTGCGGACACGCTGCAGGGCAGCCAGCCTGACCTCACGCAGGACTTCACGCAGGACCTCCACGAGCCTCTTTGCGGCTGTTCGTGCGGCAGTTGAACAGCATCATGGTGCACAGGGCGACCAGGAGCGCACGACGAAGCCGAGGGGGGCATGACCGAAAGAATCCTCCAGATCGCAGGTGTGGGGATATGCTTCAGGCTAACAGCACCAAGAGGCACAGACAAGACAAAGGCCACACTGAATCGAAGCGAACAGGACTCGCGGCGCATGCTGGCGATTCGAATGGCATTGGATCGAATCGTAGAGGCGGCCCTGTCCTGTCCTCCTCTTACTCCTCCACCTCGTCCTCCCCCTCCTTTTCGTCATATTCCCCCTCCGCTTCATCATCGCATCATCACCATCATCATCATCATCATCATCACCACCACCAGCATCATCATCGTCATCGGCATCGGCATCAGCATCAGCATCAGAATCAACATCAGCATCATCATCATCATCATCATTATCATCATCATCATCATCATCATCATCACCAGCACCAGCACCAGCACCAGCACCAGCATCAGCAGCAACATCATCATCATCACCAGCATCATCATCATCACTCGGCAATGATGCACTGGCGACGTCGGAACGAAGACACGAGCCGCATCACTGGAGCCCTGGATCGTCCTCCCTCTCCTGCTCCTCCTTCCTATTTCCTCCTCCTCCTCTTTCCCCTCCTCCTCCACTCCTCCACCTCCGCCTCCTCCTCCACCTCCTCCTCCTCTTACGCTAGACCCACTTAAGGTTTCCCTTTGGCGCTATGGAAGCAAAGTGTACTCGACTCGGTTCGAGGGAGGGAACCAAACAAAAAACTGCCAGGCGCCGCGGGCAACGTGGGAAGGCGAGACCAGGAAAAGAGTAGACAACTGAGCAAGGCGCCCGCCAGGTCCGTGAAGACGACACTGCTAGTACGAGACACTCAAAACCTTAGAAGAAATCGAATGTTCAGTTAATAGTGCCATTTGGGTTGAAATAAAGAACAGCTGTGGCACCTTGGTGGTCAGTGCACGCGTTCATCCCCTATAACGACCACCCATAACTCCACACCCCAACCTTTACCGTCGCATGTTTGGTACACGCTGCAGAAAAATGAGCAGTGAGTGACTGGATGCAGTGAAATCAGGGTGACATGTCATCGAGCTCCAGAATGAAAGCGTCATGTACTTCTGTTAGACAACGCAAAACCAGTGAGCCCGAAGTAGGTACAAGCTGCTTCAACTAGGAACGTGCGCCTGCGAAAATTCGTGTTGTTGAGCTTGTGCACCCTGACCGTGCACGTGGTCAAGTTGCTCACGTGCACGTATGGGACAAGAAAGAACTCGTGTTGTTTGTAATGTTCTTTTCGGGTTTAGCACGAACCCTTGAAGTCCAAGATGCCTGTACATGCGATAGTATAAATGTCGCGAGGCTGGCCTGTGTTGGGCGGCCTGATTGTTTCCAGGTATCTTTGGCGAGCGTGCCCCTGCTGTGGGCCAGGGTTTTCTGGATGACCCTAAAACGTCGGAACTAGGTGAGGAACATGGCCGATCAGGGTGTTTTCCTGGTTGACCCCGAACCGTGACAAACGGGAGCAGTGAGGCAGCGAAGTGTATTGGACAAACAAGAAAAAACCGAGCTGTGGGCAGGGGTCTCTGGTTGGCCCCGTACCTTGAATGCGCGAGAGACGTACCACAAGCATGTCGAGAGAACGGGAGGGTATAGCGCGCAGGGGGGTGTTGGTTGATCCCAAACCGTAGCAAAGGGGAACGATGATGCAGCGACGCGTAATGGCCAAAAGAAATGCCCGAGCTGCGGGCAAGGGTTTCTGGTTGACCCCGGACCTTGAATGTGAGGGAGGTGCACCACAAGCATGTCGACAGACATCAGAACGGGATGGTGTCTAGTACGGGCCAGACACGCATGTTGTGCGCAAGGGTTTCCTGGTTGAAACTGGACCGCAGGAAACAGGAGAAGTGAGGCAGCGATGTGTACTGACCGAAAAAAGAAAACCCGAGCTGTGGGCAGGGGTTTCTGGTTGACCCCGAACCTTGAATGTGAGAAAGACGTACCACGAGCACGTCGAGAGGACGGGGGGCATAGGCAATATCGTGCAGTCGACATGCAGTGTAAGAAGGCGGATCGTCTAGCTCTTTGAGTGAGGTCGTACCCTGGCTGGGGACCCAAGCGCGCACAGTGCGCGGGCTGGACAAAGGAGGGTAGCCTGCAACAGGGTCCCTCAAACAACCAGCAATGTTAGAGCTGCGACCCAGGGTTGTAAAGGCGTCCTCCTCCTCCTCCACCTCCTCCTCCTCCTCCTCCTCCTCCCCCTCCTCCTCCTCATCCTCCTCCTCTTCCTCCTCCTCCTCCTCCTCGTCCTGCTCCTCCTCCTCCTCCTCCTCTTCCTCCTCCTCCTCCTCCTCTTCCTCCTCCTCCCCGTCGGCCTGCGTGCTGGCGGCGTTCTGCCTGGCAGCGGCACCACGGCCCGTGGGGAGCGTCTCCGCGCGAAGGCCGTGGATGGCGACGCTTCGGCGGCTCTGAGCAGCGCCTCGGGCTCCGAGGCGGCGGCGGAGTAGACATGCCCGCGTGAGCTGTCGTCAGGCCGCTGTCTCACCTACCTACCTACCTACCTTCCGCCTTGCAATCCTCCTCCTCCTCACAACCGCCATCAACAACAACAACAACAACAACAACAATAACAGCATCAACAACTACTACAACAACATCAACAACAACAACAACAACAACAACAGCTGAATCATCATCATCACCATCACCAGCATCATCAGCATCAGCATCAGCATCACCATCAGCATCATCAGCATCATCATCATCATCATCATCATCATCATCATCATCATCATCATCATCATCATCATCATCATCATCATCATCATCATCATCATCATCATCATCATCATCATCATCATCATCATCATCATCATCATCATCATCATCATCATCATCATCATCATCATCATCATTATCCGCATCATCAGCATCCTGATCAGCATCAGCATCCTCATCATCAGCTGCATCACCAGCATCATCAGTTTCATCATCAGCCGATGCAGCATCATCACCATCCACATCACCACCACCACCATAACCACCCTCCTCCTTCTCCTCCTCCTCGCCCTTCATCCTCCTCCTCGTCTTCCTCCTCCTCATACTCATTATCAGCATCATCATCATCATCATCATCAGCAGCAGCAGCAGCAGAGTCATCAGCATCACCATCGTCATCATCATCATCGTCATCATCATCATCAGCAGCATCATCATCATCCGTCTCCTCCGACCTACCAAGTACGTACGCACGTCCGTGCGTACCTATCTACCTACATACCTACCTACCTACCTACTTACCGACCTACCTACCTACTGACCTATCTAGTTACCTACATGTCTACCTACATACCTACATCATCACCATCATCAGCAGCGTCATCAACAACGTCGTCAGCATCATCCTACAAATCTTCATCCGCCCCGTACTCAGCATCAGTATCATCATCATCATCATCATCATCATCATCATCATCATCATCAGCATCATCATCATCATCAGCAGCAGCAGCATCATCATGATCATCATCAGCATCATCGCCATCAGCATCATCAGCATCATCAGTGCCGTCAGTGCCATCACCATCACCAGTATCATCATCGCCAGTATCATCAGCATCATCATATTTAACATCAGCAGCATCAGCATCATCACCAACAGCATCATCACCATGATCACATCATCATCAGCATCACCATCGTATCATCAATCAGATCATCATCCGCATCAGAATCATCATCATCATCATCACCATCATCAGCATGATCAGAATCAGCATCAGCATCATCATCACCATCATCATCAGCACATGCATCCTCAGTATCCTCATCATCGTGATCGTCATCATCAGCAGTAGAATATTATCCCGATCAGCATCACCAGTAACTGCACCAGCACCACAACCACCACCACCACCACGATCATCATCATCAGCAGCATCATCAGCATCATCAGCATCATCAGCAGCATCAGCATCGCCACCAGCATCATCCTCATCATCATCATCATCATCATCAGCATCATCATCATCATCATCAGCATCGTCAGCATCATCAGCAGCATCAGCATGACCACCATCATCATCATCACCATCATCAGCAACAACAAGATGAGCATCGTCATCATCATCAGCACCATACTCATCATCAGCATCCTCATCCTCATCATCATTTGACTCAAATTCTTCAAACTCATCGGAAACATCGTCAACATCATCATCAGCGGCAGAATCAGCATACGTACATACCACCTCTATTCCCTCCGCCTCCTCCGATTTCTCCTCACCCGTTCCTTCGTCTCATAAACAAACACCCCTACCTACAATCCGACCTACCTCCTGGCTACCTCCCTTCCTCCTCCTCCTCATTATCCTCCTCCTCCTCATCCGCCTCCTCTTGGGAGGCCTGGCTTCCCCTCCTCCTGGGAGGCCCGGAGCCCCCGCCTCCCGGGCCGGCTCCTTCGCGGCATCGAGGCCAACCACGTAGAACGCGCGGCGGGCGGCGCGGGCACGCGAGGCCCGCCCCCTGCGGGCGCGGCCGACTGACGACGACGACGACGACGACGACGGCGACGACAAAGACGACGACGTCAAAGACGACGACGACAAAGACGGACGACTGGCGTCGATGACGACGAC